CTATAAATACTTTTGTGGGTATGTGTCTTTAAAATTGGTTACATTTATTTTCTGGAAGACGTAACCACGGTATATAGGGTTAGGGTAACATTTTATTGGGACATTCTGTATTATAAACAAGCGCAAGAAAAATTGGTAGCTAGGTTTTGATTTAGGGGGCGGTTGAGAGCGAAATGGGGTTGAACGTCCACTCGATACAAACTACATCATTTCGGGACTAACATATGGTTCAATTTTATTTCAATAATTCGCTTGTGCGTAGTCGTCTTTAGCAGTGTGGGGGGGGGACCGGAGGACCCGCAGAAAACCCACAGGCGACCCTACTCCTTATCACCTACAACCGGGAAATCGAAACCACCTGATTCAATGACAGGCCTGGTCGAACACGCACACGGTAACCAATCGACTACCTCCCCCCACCCCATACTGCTTTAAAAGTGTGTACGAGGTAATAAAATTTATAGTGTTTGACGAGGTATGGTGAACGCGTGTTTAGTGAGGGTGTGTGTTAGGGGGATGGCGGGGCGGGGCGGGGCGGGGCGGGGGGGGGGGGGTTCTTTAGACAGGTAGGTCAGCTATGCTCGTTCAATAATTAATTTCTTACACATGTACTAGGATATAACTTATTCACAATTCTTGTATTTTCAGGATTTACAAGCGGTAAGAAGATATGCTGCGGTGATGCCAATGAACCCGTTCCATGTCGAAGTAAGCGTCATTGTTTTTAAGTCTACGATTAAAGAATAGAATGGCCTGATACGAGGAAATATTCATAACAAAAGTGTGATAAGAAAACTTTGTTATTACAGATTTCAAGATTTGTATTAAATTGTATTTGCTATCAGAGTCCGACAGTCTATACTAATTTCGAACGCATCATTTAATCGGCCCGTCTTCATTAGCCCAGTTCAGAGCAAAACAGTAGGACGTTAAACCGCATTTCATTTCATTTCATTTCATTTAATCGGAGAGTTGATAGTTCAATTGATGCTTGATTCGTTCAATTTGTTGTGACTCGTTTTTTTTCGTTTCCGATTTTCTTTCTTCAACCGATGATCTTTCATAAACTCAGAGTCGAGAAATATAAACCGTTAAGAATTTGGGAGTTGGGTGGATGAATGGTTAGCGCGTGCGCGTTGTATCATAAGGTCTGTCATTAAGTCAACTGGCGTGGTTTCGATTCATTCCCTGGTTGTACGTGATAGGGTCGCCTGTCCAACCTCGTGGGTTTTCATCTGGTCCGGTTTCCTCCCTCTGCTAAAGACCCCTACGCGCAAGCGATTTATTGAAATAAAATTGAATCGTATGTTAGTCACGAATAACCTGGTTTGTATTGGGTGGACGTTAATATCTCTCTCTCTCTCTCTCTCTCTCTCTCTCTCGTTCATAATGTGTATTTGTTGTTATCCACAGTCTCCCGACAAACAACGCATACAGCACTACAACACGGGCGGAAGTTCTCCCTACCATCAGAAGAATACGTCACTGATTCACGTGCTGGTTGCCTAGTAAAATGTGCGTCAGATGTTGACTGCTGGGGAGTAAACTATAAAGTGACGCCTGGTGGTACTACGGCCGATAACTGTCAGATGTTGAAAGGTGTATCCAATGGTTTAATACAAGACGATAGTTGGAACTATTATCCAATCAAAATGCACGAAGAATTTAATTGAACAAATATTAAACCTTGCATTTTGAATTTTTTTTTAAACTTAGTATAAACACAGAAATACATTGTTAGATTTGAGTTAATCAATTTGGTAGAAAAAACGATATTTTAATTAGCAACCCCTTATCTGAGCTGCCGTTGGATATCTGCTTGCGAATACGTCACGACCGACCGAAGGTGCCAATCAAATTAAATGCTCCAAGGATTTAACAGTGCGTAAAACGAAAAATTAACTGTGGTTTCTACCTAGACAGTAAAGCCGTAGTGGCCGCCATTTAATTCTGTTACACCGAAATGAAATGAAATGGGGTTTAACGTCCTTTTGTTCTACCCCGATTGGGCTGATGAAGACGGGCTGTTATACAGAACTTCCGCAGCAACGTGAGTAAGGCTTAAAGTAGGGTGCTATATCTATATAAACAACAACCCTAGATGATCCTTTATCACAAACTATCAAGAAACTGTACCTGTGTGCTGTGTTTCCCGAGATATATCCATTTGGATGTCCGTTAAAACAGACTGCTTTGTGTACGTGTAAATCGTGATTTGCTATATGACGAAATCTGCTCCATGATTCCATTGAATCTCAAGTCTCCGAGCATGCGCAACGCAGCTCAGTTTTGGATCGGACATTCCCGTGTGCTATATGTGTGCAGTACAATTTGGTTTAAATACATGCATTTAAATTTATTTCAGTTTTTGTAGACCAGTGTATTTATATTTTCTGTACATCCGTAGACAAAAAAGGTCTATTTATATTGGTATTTATGTGTAAATATGCATTTTTGAATTTTAATTTGATGTCCCATTTAAGAAATAATGTTCGGAAGTATGTTTATTCAAGAAAAGTTTCCTGGAACAATTAGAGTATTAAGTAAATAATGACAGGCTATTTTAACCAATCTGAATGATTAAATATGCAATAGCTGATCAAGTTACGTACAGATTTAAGACGCACATTGACATTTTAAAGTTGGGTTTGAATACGTGAATACAAACTAGAGGATACATAATTAAGAACAAATTCAAATTCGGGGTCATGTTTCTTCTTGTATGATAACATTTACACAAGAATAAATATGCTGATGATTTTAATATATTTCCTATAACTTTATATACGGACTGAAAGCGATCGATAACATTAACAAAACACATCTCATCGTGGTCAACGCCCCTAGAATTAACATGCCTGTATGTTAGATCTTCTTTGGTATTTTATTTTAATAAAACAATCAATATTATCATGTCAGCTATTATACGACCGAAATACAGGTTTAAGTTAAAAAGTAAGGTAATCAGCGTAGGTATATTCACTTTATCAAACAAAGCATAACTTAAATACTTTCCGAAAACTCAAATAGATTCATAATAAATAATACATAGTCATTATTTACCAAACACAGATATGTAATTTACAACTAATCTGTAATAAACATATACCGGACAAAATAAAAAGTTTTAATTAAAGTAGCTAAGTCTCTAACTCAATATCATCCAAAATCTTCGACAATGAAAACACGAATTATTTGTCAATTTTAATCAACATCGGTGTTGTGATCTTACCGGGAAAAGATGGGCCTCTGATATCCAATATTTAAGACAAAATAAACGTTTTACTATTGGTACACGAATCGTGTATCATAATGCGTTTCAGCGCAATTTGTAAACAAGAGACTCGGAAGAACGACGTTAGACATAATTCCACAAGTCATGTCAAACGGTGACCACATATTCTTCTCTGGAGAGCATGTGCAATAAATACTATCGGTTCAGACTGGAATAGCCAGACGTTAGAGATTGCCATTTGATTGAGACTTCTGGCGTATTTCGCCGAACATAACTGTTTTGAAATTAGAGTAAAAACGGAAACGATTGAATGTAAATCAGTTTTTTTTACATTCATATTACATTATTATATACGTTGCGACCCATTTGTGTCAATTTGTAGGTCCTTAATATTAACGATTTAGCTCCTTTAAGAGTATGTCAACGGCAACTTTTCAAACACGATATGAAAGCAGATCTACAGTAGTATTTTGTAAAATAAGATGTGGAAAGTACAGTAGAATAACTCCCCATGTCCAACGTGTGACGCATTTCTACTACATATTTTAATAGCCTTGTGATCGTCTATTATTGTCTCTGGTTATATTTGTTTCGTAATCTCTTCTTAGGACTCACGTTGTGTATATTCTGCTTACTATCACAGTTGTTAAAACCTTTGTCTTACCGGGAATAACAATCAACCAGTTCGGTTCTACATTTATATCAAGCACTGGATGCATAGGTTACAAGAATAGGTTACATTACAATACTTAAAATTAACATCTCTTTCTCTCAACCCCAACTCCTGTAAAAGTCTAACCTGCGTGGCTAGACTCAGGAAAGCGCTACATCATATGGTCGTCTAAACAACCCAGGTGGTGTCTGACTTGATGTCTACCCTCTCTAAGAAGTGAGCGGCTGTCTGACTATCGCCCACAGTTCTGATGGTTTTCTATCCTGACTGATCAGGTTGTGAGGCATGGCAGAACTCAAACATCAAATATTAAATAAATGAAATGAAATGAAATGTGATTTAACGCCCTGCTGTTCTGCCCCGGCAGGGCTAATAAAGACGACATACGCCATAAAGTGTGCCATGGGGGAATTTTGTCCGGGCAGAGGCACTTCGGCCTACTCTTATATCGAATTCCAACTGCCAAGGGATCTTTTACATGTACGCCAATGTATACATGGGACCTCGGTTTTTCGTCCCATCGGAGCGACTAGACAGCTGTCCTTACCAGGCTCTCCGTCCTGCACCACTGACAAGGGGAAACCACGCCGGAAAATCCCGATGAACTTTCTCGGCCAATGCAGGGATCCAGCACGCGACCTCCGGGCTAGCGAGCTAGCGTCTTACCCACCTAGCCACCATGACACCCGACAATGGGGAACTACGCCTCTTCCAACACAATCTTGGGTCAAAGAGGTCACATGACACTCTCATTGGTGTTATATATATATATATATACGACATAGATAAAGCCATGATCTGATAAGACAGTAAAACACCATCTGCAGATTGTGATGACTATTTGAACAAAGATCCACGCTTACAGGTAGGTCTATAGTATATAATCAGTTAGATAAAGTAAATTTAGGTACATTTATACTGACAGTTACATTATTGTAATCCACGCCGTTCTCGAATTATTAATGACCTTCTTTACGCGTTACCATGTTTCAAATTTAAATTCTAAAGGTTTGTAGGTACTTCAAGAGATCAGCAACCCGGATACACAGTAACTTTGCTGATTGATATACACAAAATTTATTTTCTAGAACATTTCAAGCAACATGAAGGTTCTAATAGCCCTGACGTCCATGTTTTACCTGGCCGCTACAGGTAAGATTCTATTTTCACAAATAATATATCCTCCAGTTAAAATATTTGAAAATCACGAAATTTTATAACCATGTTGTCCTTATATGTTAGCTGAACAGTTGGTATTCAATAACCATGTTGTCCTTATATTAGCTGACCAGTTGGTATTCAATAACCATGTTGTCCTTATGTTAGCTGACCAGTTGGTATTCTATAACCATGTTCTCCTTATCTTAGCTGACCAGTTGGTTAATTCAGTAACCATGATCTCCTTATGTTAGCTGACCAGTTGGTATTCTATAACCTTGTGGTCTATATGTTAGCTGACCAGTTGGTTAATTCAGTAATTATGTTAGCTGATCAGTTGACATCCTTTAACCATGATCTCCTTATCTTAGTTGACCAGTTGGTATTATTTAACCATGTTCTGCTGATGTTAGCCAACCAGTTGGTATTCAATAACCATGTTCTCCTTATGTTAGCTGATCAGTTGGTATTCAATAACCATGCTGTCCTTATGTTAGCTGATTAGATGGTACTGAATAACCTGTAGGTATTCGATAACCATGATGTCCTTACGTTAGGTGATCAGTTCGTATTCAATGAAGAGATGACGGAAACACCACTGTCTGGACAAATGTGTCAAAATGGCCCACCGATTGACATGTATTCAGCTCTATTTAAACTCCATTTCATTTCATTACAAAAAGATATTATTGTATTTATAAATTAAAATCAAGTCTTTTGTATCTGTCTTAATTAGTCTTGTTAAATCCCATTTAATTGCAAAAAGATATGATGTGTTTATAAATTAACATTAATGATATAATTACAGCGAGTATTTGTTCAAAAGCCAAGTATGATTATGGTGAAGTTGTAACTAAATCGATCTTATTTTACGATGCTCAACGATCTGGTAAACTACCTGCTAATAACCCCATACCCTGGCGGGGGGATTCAGCTGTGAACGACCAGGGGGATCATGGAGAGGATTTATCTGGTGGATGGTATGATGGTAAGTAATTATATATATGGAGAGAGAGATGAGTGATGAGAGAGAGAGAGAGGGAGAGAGAGAGAGAGAGAGTTACGCCAATTTAATTACGATAAACATGAATTTGTAATTATGTTTGTCTGTCTGTTGTGGAACCCCCTGCACTTACTACACTTAATGATATAGCAATGATAGTGCGTTTGGGATGGCCTAGTGGTCTAGAGTGCTGGGCTTCGACCTATAGCTGGCCTGTCACCTCTGGCTTACGGTTGTGGTTTCGATCCCTGGTGTGAGCGTATTTATCTTGGAGATAGGGACACCTTCTTAACCTTATGGGTTTACTCCAGGTACTCAAGTTTCTACAGGAAAGACCCCTGTGTGTGCGCTAAGATAATGAAAATACGACAACTTGTCTGGATATCACCTTCGGTGGAAGCTGACGTTAAACACTAAGAACAACAACAACTTCAGTTTAGACAGATTATCTGACAGTCTGTATATTTTGATTATTAAAGATGTTTCAAATACAGTATTTGTTTTATGATTATTAAAGATCTTTTAAATAATATATGTAAATATGGATATGTTTTAATTGTAGCTGGGGATCTGGTCAAGTTTAATTTTCCCGCCTCATCAGCCGTACGTGTCTTATTAAATGGTATAATCAGATGGTATGATACTTATACAGCTCTAGGACAAATCAACATGGCCTTAGATTCGGTTAAATGGGAATTAGATTATTTCCTTAAATGTTGGATTCCATCAAAACAAATTTATTACTATGAGGTAAAATACCGTTATTTAATTATTACACCAGTTGATAGACCTGAACACCGGGTAGGTTTAATGATATATATAAACCCCAATTACAGTTCGTATGAAAGCAGCGACTAGTTAACCGTGTCTGTGATATTAGTTATTTTGTGCTACATATATGGGATGGGTGGGGATCAAATGCTGGTACAATATTCGGTACAATATTATTTTTAGGTTGGCGATGGCGATATAGATCATCAATTCTGGAGTAGACCAGAAGATATGACCATGGCTCGACCAGCTTTCTCTCTTTCTTCAACTAAACCAGGAAGTGACGTAGCTGGTCAAACGGCGGCGGATTTTGCTGCCGGTTCCATCGCTTTTAAAAAAAAAAGGGAAAAACAATTCTAAAATTCACATCAATCAGCTGAACCTCCAAACTGGCCATCAGTAAATATTAACTTTGCCGCTACTATTACTGAAAGGGATGACATATCTGAATGAAAATATATTTCCTTTTTAGTGTAGATGGGTACATAAAATAGTTCGCGACCCGACCCCCCTCCCTTCTCAAGGTTTTCCGGTGTGGTTTCTCGTAATAACAAGAACGACTAGCCCCATGTCTTAATGTAACATAATAAATCTTTAATTTTAAAGGGATTTGGTTTGGCACTAACGGACCTTCATACATACTTACTGAAATGAAAGGAAATTGGGTTTATCTACTGTCTTGCTCCGAATGGGATAATGAAGACGGACATATACCAAACAGTGTGCTATGAAGGAAATTTTGCCCGGGCAGCGCGAATTCCAACTGCCAATATATTCGCGGGGTCTCGTGTTTTCGTCCAATCCGAACAACTCGACAGCTGTCCTTGTCAGGCCCTCCGTTATGCAGCACTGATAAGGGAACTTTGTAGGCCAACATCGAGATCGAACCCTTAACCTCCAGACTGGCGAGCCAGCGTCTTATTCACTCAGCCGGGGGGGGGGGGGGGGGCGGTGACCGATTAGTTAGCGTGTGCGCGCTGTATAATGGGGCCTGTCATTGAGTCAACTGGCGTGGTTTCGGTTGCCCGGTTGTACGTGACAAGTAGAAGGGTCGCCTGTCCAACCTCGAGGGTTCCTCCCACAGCTAAAGACCCCTACGTGCAAGCGAATTATTGAAATAAAATTGAACCCTATGTTAGTTCCGAAATGACCTAGTTTGTGTCGAGTTAACGTTAAACACCCTCTCTCTCGCTCTCTGTCTCTCTCTGTCTCTCTCTCCCTCTCTCTCTCTCTCTCTCTCTGTTCACTCCCCTACATACATATTGTATTTATGACGTTATATTATTTGTTTCTAGATCAAGCTTATTCTACTCAACTTCTCCAAGCTGCCCAATCACTGTACACATTTGCTGTCACCTACAAAGGAAAATATAATTCTAAATATTATACGTAAGGAACTTATTCTTTTTAAAAACACAAAATATCTGTTGAAGATAATGTTAAAAAAATATTTATATAATTAGTGTTATTTTTCATATAAAAAAGGCAATTATTATTTTATTTTTTTATTTTTAATAGAAAATGTTTTTTTTCTCTCTTTTACTTCCATTTAAAGATCGTATTTCTTTATTTTCGCAATTTTTTAATTAGATAAAAAATCATATTAATTAAAAAGAATAAATAAATAAATAAAAAATATAGATGAAAAAAAACCCAACAACAACCGCTTATGTCATTTTCATAATAAAGAAATCTATTTTTTTTAAAAAAATAAAGATCTTAATTATAGATCGAGTGGTTATAAAGATGAACTATGTTTAGCTGGTGCCTGGTTGTTCAAGGCTACTGGTAATCAGACGTATTTAAACGATGCTATACTATATCATGAAACCAATGTTCCTGTAGGTTTAGACTGGAGTAATGGTCTGGCAGCTTGTCAGGTAAGACGCTGACTCGCTAACCTGTAGGTCCCATGTTTGATCCTTGTGTTGAAGTATATCGAATTCTAGCTGTCAAGATTGATTTTTGACGTACGCACGAGTCCTCGGTTTATCGTCCGATCTGAATAACTATACATTGTCCAATGCACCACTTACAAGGGGACCTACTCCGGAAGATCCCATTGAACTTTTTGAAATCCAGATTAATACACCAATTACGAGACGATTAGATCATAGCTTACTAAATTGTTTCAATGGCATTTAGTAATTGAACTGCATAATCTGATAGCTGTACTTGCCAGGCCCTCCGTCCTGCACCACTGACAAGGGGAAACCTTTTGAAATGAAAGAACATTTTTCACGCATCTTGGCGATACGACCCACTCTTATTTCGAATTCCAAATGTCAGTTTTTGTTTTGACTACATACCAATATGTACACGGGTCCTCGGTTTTTCATACGATCTGAATGACTATGATCTTGTACACGGGACCTCGGTTTTTCGTTTCATCCGAATGACTAGACAGCTGTCCTTGTCAGGCCCCCCGTCCTGCATCACTGACAAGCGAGAATCAACCATATCTATTAGTAGCAGTGGTAGTCCAACTATAGGTTTGTTTGTCTATCAGTAGCAGCATATTCCTGAAGCAATGGCCCGAAAAAATCCCTCTCTGGTCATGGCTCGATTGGCTTCTGATATTTGAGCTTTTGAGGGAGTTTGTCTATTCTTCCCCCGTTCGATCCAATCTTTCCCAAGTACAGCAACATGACAGCCCTTCGTTTAATCTGGGTCTTCCCTAAAACTTTGGACAGTGATTTAAGGTATTAAAAACGGTGAAAGTATGTTCTTCTCCAAACAGTATTGTTTACATTGTTTTCGATTTGATAGCCTCGTTTGTCACACAATTAGTTTTTCTGCAATATTCTGCTATGCACTGGTTAATTGGGTATAATAAAATCGTGAGCCATGACGTAACGTTATGTAAACATATTTGGTCCAATTTGGAGCTCTGTTTTAAGAGTAATGCTTTTGTAACTCAGTTAGCTATTGGTTGTTAATCGGACCATTGACCAGTCATAATTTGGAACAGAAATTTACTTTTGTTAAAGCAGTGTTTAGTGGGATTAGGTATAATCAAACGAAACACTGCAAGGAGTATGTAGTAGCAGTGGTAGTCCAACTATATCTTTGTTTGTCTATTAGTAGCAATGGTAGGCCTGTCTATTAGTAGGTTTGTGCATGTCTGTTAGTAGCAATGGTAGGTCAACTACATCGATTAGTATAGATACAGTATTGACTTTGTTTATCTATTAGTAGCAATGATAGGTCAACTATATATTTTTATTGCATAATCAAATAATAAACTGGTATTTAATATTACACGATTATTATATTCTAGTTGATGTATGAATTAACATATGATGATTGTTATATTCTAGCCTGATGCAGGACCGGAGGGCCTGACAAGGACAGCTGTCTAGTCGTTCGGATGTGACGAAAACCCGAGGTCCGTTGTACATATTGGCGTGCACGTAAACGATCTCTTGGCAGTTGGAATTCGATATAAGAGTAGGCCGTAGCGCCGCTGCCCGGGCAAAATTTCCCTCATAGCACACTGTATGGCGTATGCCCGTCTTCATTAGCCCAGTTTAGGAGCAGAACAGTAGGACGCTAAACCCCATTTCATTTCATTTCAGTTATATTCTAGTTAATGATGTATGAATTAACTCATGACGATTGTTATATTCTAGTTGATGTACGAATTTACTCATGACGATTGTTATATTCTAGTTGATGTTGTATGAATTAACTCACGACAATTGTTATATTCTAGTTGATGTTGTATGAATTAACTCATGACGATTGTTATATTCTGGTTGATGTTGTATGAATTAACTCACGACGATTGTTATATTCTAGTTGATTTTGTATGAATTAACTCATGACGATTGTTATATTCTAGTTGATGTTGTATGAATTAACTCACGACGATTGTTATATTCTAGTTAATGCTGTATGAATTAACTCATGGTGATATGTATAAAGTTGAAATACAGAATTTCCTGAAGACATGGAAGCCTGGTAGTTCAACACCGTACACACCGTGTGGTATGGCGTATTTTGATAAATGGGGAACTTGTCGGCATGCTGGTAAGAGATATTTCGACACCATTTAAAAAGATCCCACAGTACTGTGCAATGTCGTCCGTTTTAAATTTGTCAAATAATTTTAACCAATTAAAGCTACAGAAGAGGTAATATAGGTCTAGTCGATTGCCCAATAATTTTCATCTTGTCAAAAAGTTTTAATCAACTACAGATTTTATCTTCAGTCATTAACTCTTTGTTTACAGCGAATGCAGCATACGCTGCCATATGGGCAGCAGACCTGGGTATTGATGCTACAGAAAATCGTCAATGGGCCTTGAGTCAAATCAATTATATCCTTGGCGATAATAATTATAAAATGAGTTACGTCATTGGTTTTGGTTCCAAATATCCCGTGAAACCTCATCACAGACCCAGGTAAAGAGAATATCTTTAGTTTGTTTCGTGTTTTTGCAAAACGGTGTCAATGTTCAGCATAAGACGAACAATTTATGTCTGGGTGGCACAGTGCTAGTTGAAGCTGGCCAAGGTCATTCCATCTCGTTTTTGTAAGGAACGAGGTATGTTTTCCCTGGAGAGTATCGGGGAAAACGTGATATGGACTAGGATCAAGTCTATATTCACCGCATTTACGCGATGGACATGTTGTTGGGGCTCCGTAGCCCCTGTCGTACTTTTCGGATCGATACTGCTTGCCTCTCAACCAGAACCGTTCTTCTGACAGGTCTTTTAGAAAACAAATGAAATGGGGTTTAAGGTCCTACTTTTCTGCTTCGACTGGGTAAACGAAGACGGACATAAACCATACAGTGTGCTATGAGGGAAACTTTGCCCGGATAGCGGCGCTACGGCCTACTCTTATATCGAATTCCAACTGTCAAGGGATCTTTTATGTGCACGACAATGTGTAGGTTGATAGTATCACGTACAATAATAGAATACTTGTCGAAACATCGTGCTATATGTATATAAACCAGTGATTGTATTCCATAGAAATTGTGTTGTGTTTTTTTAATGTGCTCAATCACTAAATGCAGTTCAAGGACTAATATGTAGCTGACAGGCTAACATGATCTTGTTTTTATTTCACTTCCTCTTTTGTTTTCCAGTTCTTGTCCAGATTTGAACATCTTCTGTGGTTGGAACGCCTTCAACAGCACAGCTCCCAATCCCCATCTGTTAGTGGGAGGTTTGGTTGGTGGACCTAATCTGAAGGATGAATGGGTTGATGACCGTGGTGATTACGTTAGAAATGAAGTAGCTCTGGATTACAATTCGGGACTACAATCTGCTTGTGCAGGTAGGACATTACATATTAATTGCCAGTAGATTGGGACAGAATCAACTCCCCCTGGGTGAACTGTAAATAAACTTATACACCTTTGCCGGACCACACCATCCCGGGATCTTGAATACCCAAGTCTACAGGTAAATCTTGCATAACATCCCAACAGGTAAATCTTGAAACCCAAGCTTACAGGTAAATCTTGGAACCCAAGCTTACAGGTAAATCTTGAAACCCAAAACTACAGGTAAATCTTGGAGCCCAAGCCTACAGGTAAATATTGAGACCAAAGCTTACAGGTAAATATTGAGACCCAAGCCTACAGGTAAACCTTGAGACCAAAGCCTACAGGTAAATCTTTAGACTAAAGCCTACAGGTAAATATTGAGACCGAATCCAACAGATAAATCCGGAACACAACTGAAGATGTTATGATTACAACCGGGAACACGATACAGTATCAAATTATACAACAGCACGATGCTGTAGAAAGAGAGATAACTCGTATTCCTTTTTATGGAAGCAGACCACCTTTAATGTACTCCCGGTAACAGAAATAATATTTATTTGCAGGCGCGAAACGTATCATTGCATAGCATTGATCTTAAATTGCACCACTGACAAGTTGGAACCACGCCAGAAAATAAGAGAAACCTTCGCGGCCCGTAATAGGAGTGAACCCGGGACCGCCAGGCTAGCGAGACGCGGCTCCCATTAAACAAAAATCCAAAAACCTTGCTATATCTTATCAACGAGGTACTGTCGTTTTAATTTGAATGAAATGGTGTTTAACGACATACTTTTCTGCATCAACCGTTATGGTGAAGACGGGCATACGCCATACAGTGTGTTATGAATGAATTTTGCCCGGGCAATGAATATTACATGTGTACGGTTTTTGGTCTCATCCGAATGAATAGTCATTGTCCCTTGCCAGTTACCCGTCATGCACCACTAACAAGAGTAACTAATCTGAACCCAGACCTCCGGATTAGTGAAGTAGCGTCTTACCCATTTCGGTTTGCGGAATGTCCCTAGTACTTCATAAATAAATAAAATGTGTTGTTAAAGCGAGAATTTCATATTTTCAAAAGAAAGTCAAAACATAATTATTTCTATGTCTTTTGCTCAATAGGTTGTCAACTCACTATTATACGATCATAGGCATTATTTCCCGCTCTTAAAATTCATTGACACCGGAAATAATATCACAATTACCTCCCTTGTTTTCCTATTCTCCCAATGGAATAGCTATCTTCAAACGCTTGAATTTAAAGTTGAAAATGACATTTTTGCCAATTTCTCAACTGGCAATAGTGAACTATAGGATTAATAGGATTATTTTTTAACAAGGTAGGACTGTTTATAGATACCATCTATTTTAAGGCTTTATTTTAATACATTTTAAAAATATGAAATTGTAACTTTAATCTTTGTTTCCAGGTTTGGCTCATCTGTGTATTACTGATGAACTACCTCCTTTACCACCGATTAATACATGTTAAAATGACGAAGATAACAGAAGTCCTTGTTTATTTTCAATAAAATGTGTTCGTATGCATTGACTGATTTGATTTCCAATTTAAAAAGAATATAAAGCTCTATGTTATAGTCATGAATTGGTTCTTCTAACACAAATTGAAATGAAATGCGGTTTAACGTTTGACTATTCTGCTCCGACAGGACTAATACAATACAATGAGGAGCATTTTGCCCGAACAGCGGTGCTACCGCGCACTCTCATATACCGAATTCCGACTGCCAAGGGTTCTTTTATATGCACGCTTTTAATTGAGGTAGAATGTTTAAACTTGATGTTCAGTGATTAACATTTCCCACTCAAGCTAAACAGAGCTAAGCAGTTACATTGGTCGATGTTTTGGGATAAGATAACTTTGATTCTAACTTCTAGAGAGTGGTGAAACTTATGTACCTCAAAACCTTGACTGGATTTAATCGTGAAAATATTATACTTAGACTAAGTATATATAACCCAATTGAGTGCTCGATACTAATGAAAGAGACAAATGCGCGATTAATTTATTTTTGTCATCTATTTATTTTGAGATTTCGGCATGGGACATTAGCCTCGCTGTTGGCTTGTTTCTACTATTGCAATTCTAATTAAATTACTTAAATAATACCAAAAATCATTTACTCTTGAACGCAAAAGTTTTATTTTGAGAAAATAAATAATTAATCTACAAATTTATACCAGGCATATTTACATTTATCTATTTTGCGTCTAACATGCTGGGAATCCACGGTGGCTATGTGAGTAAGACGCTGGCTTGCTAGCCTGGAGGTCAGAGTCGGCAGGGGGGGGGGTCAACTGGGACACTTGTCCAGGGGCCCGGAGATGGAGGTCACATGTTCGATCACTACATTAGCTGAGAAACTGCATGATTCCCCTTTGTCACTGGTGCAGGGCGTAGGGCCTGACAAGGACAGCTGTGTAGTCGTTCGCTTTGGAGGAAAAAAGCCAAGGTCCCGTTTATACATTGGCGTGTACGTAAAAGATCTTTTGGTAGTTGGAATTCGATATAAGAGTAGACCATGCCGCCATATTGTCGCTGCCCGGGTAAAATTTGCCTCTTAGCACACTGTATAGGGTATGGCCGTCTTCAATAGCCCATTCGGAATAGGACGTTAAACCCCATTTCGTTTCATTTTGTACATGACGTAATAAGTCCAACTGTATGGCGTATGCCCGTCTTCAATATCCCAGTCTGAGCACAGCTAGACGCCACGAGACGCAGGCCAACCACCCCCCACCCTCCCAAAAAAAAAACTCAATCCAAAAATGTAAAACGTGAAAGACAGAATTAAAACCGGGTCATCCTGCATTTTTCACACGGATTAAATATGGTTTGGGCACGTCCTCTACATGGACAAAATGATTCTTGCGTAACCAGAAGGAGGTAGGCTTTGGACCAATCTCTCTGTCACAGATACTTGGAACATGACACCAGATATTATTCACTAGAATACAACAGTGTATATTATTGTTTACGGTTAACTGCTAAAGTATTGTTGGCGATATCACTTTCACAGAAGCGGCCGTTAGGAAAGCGTTAGCTCATCTATATATATCACTGGTGAATTGCCGTAATCACCGGAGCGTAAATGTTAAAATGCTGACGATCGCGAAAATTAAGAATTATCTAGGCTGATAGCCTAAAGATTAACAAGACCACACTACTTATCAACGAGGCATTAATCTGTAGGCCTTAAATGTTATATAAACCATTAATTAGACATTTATTAACTTGCTAAGACCATAATCAACCCTCGATGCCATCGGATGCTCGAGATTTACAACAGATTTAAATACGACTGACAGTATATTATTTAATTCAAAAATGGATAATCGAGACAGTGTTTATTATCTATAGAAAGGTGGCAGTGACACTCTGTTCTTCTAAAGGCGATAATTCGGCTCAGAATGAAATAATTTGACTGAAAATTTCAACATATTCTCTTTTCATTATCTATGTTTTAACTTTTATAGCGAGAACTGTCAGCTTTTATCTAAATCTTACATAATGCATCTTTAACTAAATAGATTTAACCAATCCATCCTGAAATATGCTAATTTGTCAGTTTATTGAAATACATAATCTTTTCTGTATGTCCGTCTTCCTGAGCACTTTCGGAATAGAACGGGTGAAAAGTGTATGAATGATGTTTAACGTCTCGTTAACACTATACTTCGGTTATTTTGAGACTAACACACAGTGCTAGGGGGATAATTTAGCCCTTAGTTCCACGCTTCCTTGATGGTCCTTTTACATGCACTCGACGAATCCCGGGTTTCCGTTCTGTCTACGGGCGCATAAAGGACATATTATTTACTCATAAGTTATGGTGGGAGGCGGGGGCTAGTGGTCTAGGGTGCCGTGCTTCGAGCCGTTCCCTGGTTTGCGCGTACGCGGTTTGGAGATAGGGGCGCCTTCTCAATTTTGTCTCACAGTCATGACCGCTGGGCATGCGCTAATATAATAAAAATAAGAAACTTCTCTGCGATATCACCCTCGGTGGAAGCGGACGTTAAACAACAACATAGGATATGCGGCATATAATAGACACGCAGTTACAATTTCTTCAACAATAAATTAATTTTTATTAACAACATCGCAGTCAAGTTTGGATGATGCAAACATAGATTTTACAGGAATAACAGCATAAAATAATTATATCTCCATAATACACAGTCTCGTCTGTGGTACATTGTTTATAAATCTGATTCGTATAAAAAAAAACGTCCAGGTGTTAAATAATTGTAAATAATAGCGCGCATACCCTCAATTTCCTCAATCAATTTCTTCAAAAATTGAATATCTATCACTTTATAATACATTCATATTACAGTAATATGTGCCTTAGAACAATTTTCAATTTCACAAGGTTCCAGAAAATAGAGCCATATTCACTTTAACAATAAAAAGTTGTATGTACAAAACTCTGCAATAGATAAATACTCCAATACTTTCACAAGTTACAACAAATAATTGTCCGAACAAAGTATTTATAAAACTTCAATATCGTTCATGCTTTTAAATAGAATAAATAAGGACAAAAAAACAACAAAACAAAAAACACAATTTCCACTGAAACATCAAGCTTCTATTTACAAAATATCACAGATTAGCTGAAGTCGATAGAAATTATTATATTTCTTAATATACATATACAAATCTTATATACAAAAATTTCTTAATGTCCTTTTAAGGATCAATAAATTATTATATTTCTTACTACATATACAAATATTATATTGCATTTTTTTTTTTAATGTCCTTATTTCAATAAAACAAAAAACTATCAACAAATTGATCACAGAATTGCTTTGGGTTTTGTATATAAAACTATATACCGTCATAGATATTAAATGTTATATACACTATAAATGTAAAAACACGAAAGTTTGTCGAAAATTAATATGTCTAACTTGAGGAGTAACAGTAAATGAGGTGTTTTTACTTTCCCTTAATCTTTCCTAAAGGCTCCGACTAACAAGCCGAACGCCTCACAACATGGGTCATAACAACAATGGACACACAAGGCCCAGAATTTCTGTAAACATCAACAATTAATCGCCAAAACTTTGAATAACGGAGTCAACCAAATATGGGTAAAGGCTATTCTAGCAAATTTACATCCCCATTCAGCAGCAATATATACCAGAAAACAAGGTGGCGAGTTTATAGAAAACATTCTTCCACAGGGCGAATGATTGAATAACAGTAATCAACTAATCAAATAATTTGTAATACTATGGTTTTGGAAAGATTTCGTTTCGTATTCAGCTGACCGGAAGGCATCCGTTTTTATTAATCTTTCCTAAACGCACCAAATATCAGTCCAAACGCCTCACAGCATGGATCACAACAGCAATGGACACACAAGGCCCAGAATTTCTGTAAACAGCCACAATTAATCTCCAGAACTTTGAATAACGGAGTGACGAACCACACGTGGGTAAAGGCTATTCTAGCAAATTCACATCCCCATTCAGCAGCAATACACATACCACAACACAAGGTGGCTAGTTTATAGAAGAAATTTTTCCATATATTGAAACAGAAGAAGGAGGCTTTCCAGACACAATCTATACTGTGAGCCCCCTCAGGTTCAGCTAAAACATCTTCAAATTGAACCTAGAAAACACGAAATACTGATGAATTAGTTTGACAAGAATAAACAATACAATAATTTAGATAATCTTAAAAGCGCACACGGAAATATATCCGAAGAAATGTGTCATTGATTGAGTAAATGGATAACCTACACTGACAAACGGATTAAGGTAGATTATTCTGATCTGTTAAGGAACGCTCAACAAGACAGATTAATCTGATCTATTAATGAACACCTTTCCTCAATTGATCAACATCTAGAATTGATTCCACAAGATATTATTATATCTCCTGTATCTCTTACCATTTTGATGCAATATTTCATTTAGAAATTAAATGAGGTTTAACCGGGTATTATATTTTTTTTTTGCACAGCCCGGGGAGTTTTCCCGGGCTGCAGCGCTACAGTGTACTGATATTTTGAAATCCACCTGTGAAGGTTTGGTCTACGTGTACGCCAAAGTGTATATGGGATCTTGGTTTTTTTTTATACTACCCAAAGACTAGATGCTACCCAAACGCACCACGGACACAAGGCAAGATTGCCCCCCCCCCCCCCCTGATTAGCTACCTAGTTTATATATCCAGTAGATGTTATTAGGTATCTTTTTTTCAAACTAAATACTTAAATTACGAATTTTAAAATTTCATGAAACAAAACTTACCCCAACGAAATCGTTGATGTTATTGGGATCTCTGTTAACCATATCTAAATCAGCCATTTTGGTAAAATTTTGTAGTTGTTGATAAGAGAAGGTAAAACTAAGATATATGATGTTATTTTAATAATGCTCTCTTAATATATACCCTATAGTCATTAGATCACGTGATACAAACATCGCCATAACTACCACAATTCTACTTTCAGTTTAGTGTCAATAACAACGACCAATGGATAAACAATAAGCGATTACCTTAT